ATCTCCTTTGGTGTTGGGGACCGATCTATTGTTTGACGAATTCTCCAACAACAACTCCGATGAATTTGAGGGTTTCGTCATTACCGGTCAAATAGAGTTTGTTTTTGGGTTTTTTTTTTGGGGGTGTGGGGGGTGGTTTTGGGGGGGGGGGGAGAGCAACAAAATTAGTGAGAAAGATAAGAGGAAGAAAAAGGAGCATATCAACAAGGCTAGTAGCAGTGCATCCAAGATCGGTGCGACGGAAAAGGGGATTTTGGTCTGAGAGAAGGAACGAGGTCGGGTGGTGACGAAGAGGGATTTTGGGTCTGAGAGAAAAAGAGAGAGAGATGAGAGAGAGAGAGGGGGGGGAGGAAGGAGATTGTGTTAGGAGAGAAGATGAGAGGAGAGTAGGAAGGTTGAGCCATGAAGATTTAGATCTTGAAAGAAAAGAGATGATGAAATGATGATATTTTTAGATTTTATGTTTGTTTCTCTCTCTATACACTTAGTTGACAGGGAATAAAGAGCTTAGTTACGTAAATTTAGCCTTGACATAATTCTCCCAAATTAAAAAGCAAAAATGAAATAATGTACTAGTGAGTAGTGAGGCATTGAAGAGGTTATGTTAACGAAGAATTACATATTGTAGACATCAACCATCCAATCAACAAAATCCCAGTTGCGATTCCCTGATGACACATATAATGCGTGTACAAACGCCTACGGAGATGGGGCCCACCACCACATCACATCCCATCACATCCTCCATTCAATCCCTCCCATCGGTCGGCCGACCCAACCACCCAAAGACATCCCATTTACTCCACAATTAACTATTCCATTAATTCCCCCCAACAACTAACTTAAATCTTCAATATTTACGCATTAATCCCTCAAATCCTAAATATTACATACTAATCCCTCAAATCCTAAATATTGCATACTAATCCCTCAAATCCTACATGATCATGCAAAACAGCCCTGTTAGTATTTTAGTTAAAAAAATCTAATCATGATCGGGTTAACTCCAAATTCTACACAGTCATTCCATATTTTCCCCAACAACTAATTTAATTTAATTAACTAAAACAAATGTTTTTAAGAGATAAGTCCCTTATATCTTCAGTATTTGCATATCAGTCCCTTACATCTTCCGTATTTGTATATTAGTCCCTTATATCGTATAGGATCTTGCAAAATGATCACTCGGTTAGCATTTCAATTAAAAAAAACATAACCATGATTGGGTTAACTCCTAACCCCTCTGTCCGATGTTCCAAAGCACAGTGAAGTTCAACTTTGTGTTTTAAGGGTTTTTTTTTCTAACCATTAAAGAAGACGCACTCGAACAGATTTGGGTTTCTTAACTGCGCACTGGGTTTAACTCTATTAAGAAATGGACAGGGAAAATTAATAGAAGGGGTGAAAAACAGTCACTTTGCCTCTGACCGTTAGATTTGACATCCCTCAAATCTAACTCGATTTTAAATTGAAGGATCATTTTGCGAAATCCTATAGGATTTGAGGGACTAATATGTAATGTCCAAGATTTAAGGAGGACTAGGCAGCAAATGAAGATTTAAGGGACCGATATATCTAAAAATCTCTCCTAGGGGTTATGTGCATTGGTTTAATGCATGTACAAATATCGACCGACCAAGCTCCCCACGAAGAGAAAAAGCAAACAAATGGGAGGCAGGAAATTGAGCCTCCTCCATATGCATCTCTGCTGCTGCTGCTGCACCCGCCGCCCCCTTACGGGTCCTCCCCACAATTCCCAAAGTGCCCCTCCTCCCCATGATTCCCGAAATGCCCCTCCTCCTCGCTCCTCCTCCTCCTCCTCCTCCGCCGTGTTCAACAAAAACTTCAACTCCCTCTACGACTCCCCAGCTGAGTCCTACACATAACCCGGTCCCTTGCACAGCCAGGACCCTGATCGCTGCCGCCGCCGCGCCGCCGCTGCAGCTGCCACGACCAGCGCCGAGGAAGAGGATGACGACGTCATCACCTCCTCAGGATCAGAACCGGATCTCTCGCCGTACTCGCATCGAGGAGGCTGACGAGGCCCGCGTCGACCGGAGATCCAGTTCGATGTTAGCGGAGCAGCTGGAGGAGGATGGAAGCCGGGCGGTGGGTTCGGGGCGGTGCCGAGGGTGTCACCCGACCCGTACGAGGATTTCAAGAAGTCAATAGAGAGATGGTGGCTGCTCTTGCCTACGCCGACCTCCTGCAGTCGGTGATGGTCAGGAGCAGGAGCAGGAGCAGGAGCGGCAGCAGCAGGCGAGGAGGAGGCTGCAGGAGCTGCTGGCTTGTCTATCTTGCGCTTAATCGAAGAACGCCCACAAGTACATCGTCGGCGCCTTTGCCGACGTCCTCAGGGGCTTCTCCCGCCTCCCACCGGGTGCGGGGGGCTGATCAGAAAAATGATCAGGGGAGGGGTTGTCTTCATTAACTGGCTTACTACGTTTTCGGCATCTATCCATGTGCAATATATTTTGCTTATCAAAGCATTTTTCATCTCTCGGGAGTCATCGGGGAGAGCCAGAGCCAGTGGGGAGAGATTATCTGCAATTGTATTCCTCTGAAAATGTAAACTCAAGTGTTAAACTGTGGAACTCGAGTGTTAAAACTCTGGAGTCAGCAAAGAAAAGAAGTACTTTCAGCAAAGCATTCTAACAATTTCCAGCTTTTTTTTCTTCTCCTCTTTGTATTTTTAACCCATTGTTAAACAAATTTCTCTAGCAATTATCAGGCTTATCAGCCATCGAGCTTGGACTTGTTTACCTAATCTTCAAAAAGGACATACATGACCGTGATGTAACATGCCCTCGTCTCGTATGCTGGCGGAGTTTTCTTTTTTTATTTTGTCGGTTGGTTATTATTATGATTAATCATTTTAAATTTAGGACGACAGATGTTAGTTCATAACATGGGGTGTTGGGTTTAATTTATGAAACTCACTAGCAGACTATTACATCTAGGGGTGTTAACGGAGCGGATACGGCTCGGATCTATCACTTACCATATCCATATCCGCTTACCCATCTCGGATACGGATACGAATACGGATATATGTCGGTAAGAAAAATTCATATCCATATCCGCCAAAATCGGATACAGTTACGGATATAGATGCGGATATATCAACGGATATGCATGCGGATACAAAAAGGATATGAGAAAACTAGATAGTATTCAGAAAAATATAGTCATGTGATACAAAAAGAGTTCGTTAATATGTTCATTATGATTAAAAAGCTTAGATTAGACACCTTGATCATCAAAATTAACCACAAATCCATAATCTAAGAATCGAAACTATCGTAAGAGTATTACCAATATGTATTCGGATATTTTTGGATACGGATACGGATATTTCACTACAAAACCATATCTGCAACCATATCCTATCGGTAATAGATTTGATTAACCATATTCGTATCCTAACGGATACGGTTACGGATAATTCCTCGGATACGGATACGGTTTGGCACCCCTAATTACATCACATCACATCCGTAGAACTACGCTACACATTTCTGCATTAATAAGCGCCATGCCCCGATGAATAGCTATCAATTTCTTCCCAAAAAAGTAGTGTCCACATCTTACCAATGGTTGTCTAAAGAAGATATTGTTTTCCGAAAAAAATGGGAAATGAAAAACTCACATTTCAACTCATTTCAAGACATTTCTCTTTTTTTTTCGCAATGAAATCACCGTCACGCCACGTAAGAAACAAATCCAACCGTAATAGTAACAATGTTTTGATTTGCATTTCTTGTGTTTGTTTGAACATAAAAAAAGAAATAAAAATCAGCTATAAAAGTGTTTGTTTCAACAATGCTGGTAGTAATTAAAAATTCACTGAAGTGATATTTCCAAGTGTTTCAGAGGTTTTTGATGTGAAAACACTTTTCTCAAGAATCTGACGTGACATCCTCATTTCTTTAAATCACAAAACAAAACAAACATGCGATTTAGAAATCGGTTGAAACCAAAATCCAATCCNGTGTGGGGGGGGGGGGGGGGGGGGGTCTCATTTTTTTAGCAAACAAACAGCCCCTAAACTTCTAACTACTCATATATTAGTCCACCACTTTCGTAAAACAAACCAAATATGAACCTCAGTCGTTCCAAGCTACTACTACTACTACTACGCCATATCCGTTTGTAATTTCCAACAACCACCATATAAAAACCCCACGTTCTCATCGCAGGCTACCTATCTGAACATGAAAAGATGAAACCGCGCGTCCAGGTTGGGGGGCTTTTCAGAAATTCATAGCCCCCTACATAAAAGTACTCTCTCAAGTTCTTATAATAATTCCACACTCACAAAACGCACGCAGATTAAAAGCTTCTCCCATTTTCCTCTTTCAAGTCACGCGCTCTCCCCTCTCGCAGCAAGCACTATAAAGTTCTAAACTCATTGGCACTTATAAATAATACTCTACTAACATATACATGAAAGGAACAAAAACCTGTGCTCACTAACCTAGGTGAATGACTATTTAGCTTTTAGTGAAAAAGAGCAACCAAAGGCACCACCCCACCTCGGACCCTTCGAGAAGTGAACGGTCATCGAATTCAAAGAAAATGCTAAACTTAGGTCATCATATACGACCAGATACAGAAAATTAAATATCTATCCACATGTTCAATTTTAATAAAAAGCATTGGTAAGGCGCTATAGAAAAATGCGCCGCCAAAACTTTGCACCGTTGAAAGAAATAACCTGCATGACATCAATGTGGCAGAGGCTACGGGCAGCAGATAGAATAACAGACACCGGTGCAATAGATGAAGGATATCAACAAGCTTGCTGGTTGTTCCTCAAAAAAAAAAAAAAAAGGAATAAGGGGAAAAAACATGCTACCTGGTTCAAGCTTGCTGGTTGTTCCTCAAAAAAAAAAAAAAAAGGAATAAGGGGAAAAAACATGCTACCTGGTTCATCGTAACATGCTTAAGTTACCAGCAGGCAACCTTAATAATAATAATAATAATCATAACCATAGTCATTGCATAAGAACCTGCTAAATTTATCCGCAAGCATCCTTCATACTAATCACTGCATTTGACACCATAATGTTTTCCAGACAGAACTAACATATGAAGAACCACATTAAAAATAATTGCATCCCGGCCGAATTCTGGAGGAAAAGTTCCATTTATTTGTTTGGCATCCATTACACAATAGAGCCAAGCAATATCTGAGACGCATAGAAAAATCAAAATTAATAGAACAAACTTGGGCTGTTCTCCTCGGACGAAATTTAATTCAATTGGTTGATTTCAAATAGCAAATGAGAGGGCTTTGAAGTATGACAAATGTGAAATCACCATGAAAACCAACCCTCAGTAAGCCAGCAAAAAGAAGTGCTCCAAAGTAATTCCACAAATAAATAAAGGCACACATTAATGTGACAAAGTTTGCGTACCTTTCTTTCCATAGGGCAAACTGCCTTAAGTTAAAAGTGCTAGCCAATTCAAACCACCAACATGGAAATTGATTGACCAGTCCATCTAAAAGAGAGCAAGCATTGCTTGATCATATACCTATTCTGATGAATCAAACTCCCTCCTACTCTTAATAACAGCCTTCTTCTTGGTATCAGAATCAACCTTGTCAAGATCAGAAGCTGTTGCCAAATACCCATAGAAGATCCTCTTCTTCTCACCGCTCTTTGGGTCGACCTCCACAAGGGCAGGGTTCTTCTCCTCGTCGGCCCCTGACTGATAAGCTTGCGCCCTAGCCCAGCCTTTGCATCCCCGGTTGTCCTTCTCAAAGTAATCTGCCAGTCGCTCAGCTTCCTTCAACCCAGCCTGAGTGTTGGCATATTTCACCAACGTGATGCCCAAATGACCCTCCTTACCATACATAGACTTCGACTTGCCACCAGCAAAGTCTAGATCTGAAGGAAAAGATGTCGTGTCGGGAAAAGAAGAATATAATTAAATACAGAGAAGATCCATAAAATCAGTGTAAGAATTGTCCAAAACAATTAGAACACATTCACGTCAATCTGGCTCTACCAGAACAAACCCACATGATAATTGAACTCCTAAAAACTGAAATGCTTATCGCCTACATTCCTCTATTCTCTACAAGTTTATAGGAAGCGCTAGGCAGCCAAGGCGTTGGACCCAATGCCTCGAGCCTAGGTGGTTTTCCTTTTTTATTTTTTAATTACAATAATTGATAGTAAATGTCAAAGTTAGTGAAAGCTTAGGCGTCAGACAGGCGCGAAGGCAGATTTCTTTATTCATTTAAGTGGCGGTGGATGAGGTTTTGTTGAAGGTCGGAGGAGGGAAAGGAGGTGTTCACAATTAAGAGGCTGGAGGAGGTTGGAGGAGGAGGTTGGAGGACGTGGAGACTGCAACGGAGAGAATCACGATCAAAGGCTTAAAGGGTGCAGTCCATGTAAGTAGCTCACGCTCCCCCAGGAGCTCTTGAAACCTAGGTGCCTAGGTACCGCCTAGGCCTGGACGGAGGCTTTTTAAAACATTGATTTTCTATTCCTCAAGGAAAACATTTTAATAACAGTGAAAAGACCTGCTCTACGATGAAATAAAACTAAGGGAAGTGGCATAAATATTCGGAAAAGAGAATGTTGATGATTCAGAGCAAATAAAAAAAGACAATGTGAAGACTTCATCTATCAGAGGTGTAGAATCAGCACAACTAAGGAGGGCCATGTTGAAGTATGATTTTCAGGACACATGTATGAAAAGCCAATGTGTGCCACATCAATGTAAGTGTGCGCGAAGAGACCCACCTGAACAATTTACTCACCATAAAAACAATAGGCTAAGAGAATGAATTCACTGAAACAATGAAGGGAGAGGATGACGAAGAGAAAGAAGGGGTAAAAGGCAAGAGATAAGGGACAAACAAAGAAATGGAAGAAATAAAAGAAGGCAGAGGAGTCGAAAGGAAGAAAAAAGGATAAATAAGAAGATGAAGGGAGATGGATGAGGACAGAGATGCAAAAGAAGCAAAATTATTACAAATTATATCTGCTATAAGTCTTCCTCTCTTTTGTTCACTAGAATAGAAAAGGAAGGTTACACATACGTTATTTTATTCTATAGAGAATAATAGAAACTATTATGCCAAGAAAATACAAATGTCATGCATGGAAAAAACCCAGACGTGTTTTTTAAAAGGGATACACCTAAGCGACTTTAATCTGCGGTGTCAAGGCCACATGCATGCACATGCACAATAGTAGAGATCCAAACCAAATCCAACTGATGCACACAAATTTAAAACAAAAATTGTATTGCCTCTTAACCCAAGAAACTAATCGTTTGTTTGGAAATTTCCCGAAAAGCTAATTATAGGTTCTTCTTTCCATCGGGAACAATAGGGCCACTATGCTCATTACTAAACGAGATCCAAACCAAATCCAACTGATGCACGAAAAAATTAAAAAAAAAAATCATATTGCCTCTTAACTAACCCAATAAACTGGTCTTGATCTACAACATTTGAGATGATGAGGTCAAGTGAATTTATTGATCTACAACTAATCTTGATCTACAAGTTATGATCCCATTCACTACTTATAAGCACTGTCAAACCCCTTGAATAATTTTTCAGCTTTGAGGTCATGTAGTGTAAAATAGTAATACAAATTCACAACTTAATGAGCACACCGAACAACTCACATGCTCATGTAGTTATTTGAGTGTACGACAATTTCAAGTTAAATCACCTCTCATAAAAATAACTTGTTAGCTGTAGATTTCCACATATCATCAGGTTTTCTTCAAGATCCGTGACACTTTTATGTCTTGTCTAATCTTATGTGCAGAGTATGATCAGATAACTTATACAGAAAATTAATGTCATGTCGTCCAATTAGGGAAACAAAAACTTAAGTTTCTGCCAACTTATGGGTGTTATTTGCTAATTTAGCTACAATATATATTTATGGCGGGATGTTATGTAGAATAGTTCGGCTAGAAAAATTATCATGACATACATGCAGGACAGTCTAAAGAGCCCGAACTTTTACCCCTCTATTCTCAGAAGCCCTTAAGTTTCTTTTTTTCAGTACGAAGCCTTAGGTTTTTACTCCTCTCTTCTTAGAAGCCCTCAAACTTTTTTTCTTTTAACAATGAAGCCCTTAACTACTACCCATATCTTCTAATAAGCCCTCAACTTTTTCCATTGGACAGTGACGCCTCTAAGCTTTACACCTTCTCTTCTAGAAGTCCCTGACTTTCCCTTTTGACAATGGAAGTTGTAAGTTAACAAGAAGTACGGGCTTCTCAGAAGAGAAAAGTAGAACTAACAGGCTTCGTTGTTAAAATAAAATTTTAAAAAGGAGAAGTTGAGGGCTTCTAAGAAGAGAGGGGTAAAACTTAGGGGCTTCTTTGTCAAAAAAGAAAATTAAGGGCTTCTTAAAAAAGCAGGCTACAACTCAGGGCTCTTAGACTATCCTCTCATGCATAGCAAACGTCAAGACAGCTTTATAATTAGTATTCGCTACAATCAATACAACGATCTTGAATGTATACTGATTATCATGAACATCACCAAGACCATCACCATTGCCATCTAGATGGCCTTTTTCTTAAAAAACGAAATCAATTATGAAGCAAAAACATGATATCAAGTCAGCTACAGGAAAGAATTGACAGTTGAGCATTAGTTTTTTTAGATATGACTTGGGGACATTTCAATGGGGTTATACTCAACAAGAAAGGAAAAACCTATCTGTAGTGTTGCCAAATTCCCTAGATAGAGGCACAAGTTGAGGGTAAAATGAGGAAGAATCAATTGAGATAGTTCGAACATGTAAGCAATGAGTGCACAAATTAGAAGGGGCGGTAGCATACTAGTCAATGAAGCAACGACTAAAAATAGCCTAAAAACATGGATGGAGTTGAAACCTATTCAGCACTATGCTGGAATCTGGAACGCTTCACACGGCCTCTTGGCCGCATGATAGGCCTGAAAGAAATTTAAGGAAAAAAGAAAAGAAACCACCTCCATATCCAATATGTCGAAATCTATTGCACCAGTTTATTAACTTTATACGAATAATCAACACACTAGGAACCAATTATACAAATAACAATGAACCCCGGTTTGAAATTTCACAGTTCCATGACGATCAGATTTCCTTAAGTGATTTTGGGCTATTTGAGGAATGGATTAATTTTGGTGAAGAAATGTTTGTGCTATCAAGAAAGTTCAAAGATCAAAATATTATGCTCCTGCAAAGACAGAGGTTACCCATACTAGCCTCAGCTCACAACATTCTTAACTACAAAGTTTTGGAAGGAGTTCATTCCTTGCAAATGAAAACTATAATTAATTATTGAATTTATAGGAACTATTGCATAGCATACCTGTAATGCAGCATATTCACCTGAGGGATTATGATCTATTCCCTAAGTATTTGGTGGCAAAATCCTGGCACGAAACAGTAACTAGACGCACTTTGCCACACAGCACCCTCAACATTTTGATCACCAATAAACATGGTATCCAGAAGGATGCCACTATACATCTAGAGGTGTTCTCTGCAGAATGCAAAGGTGTCGCACCATATTTTGTCAACAAAAGCGCATGGAACCAGGGAGTGCTATCACCATTTTCCGTGTTTCAATAAATAAAACACACATTGCACACACTAAAATTTCTAACATATCTAAGCTTGCAATGGAATCTATGCAAATAAGAATTTCAGATGAGGGCAGGTTTCGCAAATGAATTTGAAACATTTATAGGCACCACAAGGTGGTCTTCTGAACAGTGGAGAATACAAAAAACATGTTTCTAACTTGCTATGTACAAACGGGAATGCATGGTGAAAGTAAATATGAAATTACTAACCCAGCTTAAGTTCCAAAAATTTAATACAAAATATGAATGCTAATAATAACACTAGCGTTACCTACTTAGTATCCACCGGTAGTATTGGAAGACTGATGAGACGAACACAAGGCACTGAAGTGTCTGTATATGTTTTTAATACAAAAGTAATATGCAAAGGGAAGTTCCAGATGTTATTTGATCCAGGAGACAGACTCAAACATAAGTTTGTGCTTGCAGAATATAGGCATACAATTAATCAAGAAACAAGGTGAACAAACTGAAGTTAATAGAATAAAGTTAAGAGAATGAAGTTTCTCTTGATATGCAGTGCGTTAGCAGCATAAGTCCGATCTACATGTTAACCATAACATCAAATGAGTTACCAAAGGAAATCCAAGAAGGGATATAACTACTCATGCCCTTGGGCAGCATAAAAGGTATTATCTGAAGTTGCACAATCTCCAGGTTCCCATTGCCTTCAATGAAATAATTGCATAATACGGTACAGATTAAAAAAAAATCTTCTATAACATAAAAGATCCAATTAATTATAGTGCTAATCATCAACTAAATTTACTCTGCGAATACTACCTACTGGATATAGGACATATTAGAGAAAGAAAAAAATTAAAACCACTGCAAATTACTTATAAACACTCACTTCAGACAAAATATGCTAGAACTTTGTCAAGCATCACCACCTCTTTTGTCAATCCTGGTCTTTTGTCATTCAACCAGGATAACCTATAGCTTGAGATCAGCCCACAAGAAGCACAGTGGTGGTTCTAATTTATATGCTCAACCTTAAATTCACATGTCACATAGAAACATGTGCAGATGACATAAGGAGCAAGGGCAAATCCCAACTTCTGGTTGCAGGGGAGATAAAAAAAACTCACAGGCATAGGAACCAGACAGGGAAGTGAACTTGAGCAGCATTCCAGTTATCCGTGCTTGCATGCAACGTTGCTATTTAAGAAATAGCACCCAAAGTGCAAGAGCATGAAAACAGTGGAAAAGAACCAAAGGCAAGGTGAAAGTGAAAAAATCTACAAAATGTAATTGCTCAGAATGTACAGCTTGTATGTCAATAGGGGATAAAGTTTCCCTAAATGAAATATAATGATGTTAATAAACAGTTGAGTGGGATCAACCGATTCACCTATGCTACAAAAAAACATAACTGAAGCAGCTTTCAGAGCGAGCATTCAAACATATGTAACCAAGGGAAACTGAAAATAAAGATGCATCAAGTTATACCTTTTAGTTTCAAATCCATTTCCTTATTACCCATGCCCTCCATGCGGCCATCTTTTCTTTTTCCAGAATTCGTGTTATGGATTATGACCACAGGTGGCCACATAACCAAATCATCCCTATTTGCTGATGCATCAGCAGCAGATAACGACTGGTATGCCTTAGAGTTTTCAGGTGCCTTCGTGTAGTCCCATCCCATAAGAACACACATGGCCTTATGTAACCCAAGATGATCAACACGCAGGTCTGGATTCTGTGAGCTGTAAGCATGCATGATGAGCCCATGTACATCTGAGAACTCTTTTGAAGCCCTGAAATGTGCGCACAAAGTGCATTTAATAATAGAGGAACCAGAGCTTCCTTTTAAACAAGAGGGTAGTACAAAGCTAAAATTTCTCCAGCTCTTACTATAATCTTCAAGTTGTAGAATCCGATACATCATCATCCTAATAAAGCTAAGGGACAAAACAAATTGCTTCAAGCTACTATTTATTTTATTTTATTCACCCAGATGTGCTGAAGAACTCTCGTTCATGTGCTCTCATAAAGTTGAAAATGCTACCAACTACAGAGACTAAGATAAACAAATTAAACAAGTGACTCTCAATACCATCAACATACACACATTTCGTAGAAAGTCAGAATGTAGTCTTGTTATGCCTCATTTCCAGATAACATAAAAAACGATATATACAAGGTATCAATAACAGAGAATGCCAAAACAATACTGCATGCTCATGAGTAAAGATATCAACGTTCCTAGCCTCATGAGTAGGAAAGAAACCCAGTAGGGTAAGGTTTTATCCTTGACATAACCATAAATATCTAATTCTCTATGTTTAGCCTAAAACTTTAGAAGTTACAATTATCCTACCTCATGGGTAATGGATAAAAAAATTCCTTCATCCCATAGGGTAAAAAATAGTTACATAAAATATCTTTTTATCAGAACTAACAAATACACCATCTTTTTCCTTAAATGCATCCCTAAAGCAAAACCAAATAATATCAAAGAGACGGATGGAATATAAGCATTCTACTAAATTCAATGTATTAAATATCAAAAATATTGGATGGCCAGAATCCATATCGGATTGCGGAAATCGGTGATGTATCAAGAATATGTGAAAAGTATCGGGGTATCATATCATATGATGTTTATATGTTACATAACAATGTAATATGTAAATCAAAACATATTTAATGTATTCTAAACATAAGAAATTGCATCATGAATAATGATACATGATGGTTAGATGCATTAGATACAGGTAGAGGTTAGAGAATGAGAGAAGACATGAATAAAGGAGAGAGAGAGGAAGAGAGGAATACAAATAAGGGAGAGAGAAGTTGAGAGAGAGAAGAGAAGAGAGACAGGGGTTTGAAGAGGAGCTGAGAGAGGACAACTGGAGAAGAGAGAGAGAGGAGGGAGCTGAGAGAGGAGAACTGGAGAAGAGAAGAGAGTGGAGAGAGAGGAGAGAGATTCGTACCTGAGATCACTTAGCGTTTTTGAGCTAGAGCGTCGAATGAAGAGGGAGGAGAAATATGAGATTGACTAGGGATTTAGGGTATTTAGGTTTGGTTATTTATTAAGTTTTCAGGTCTAGTGGGAACCAAACCAAACACAAACTCAATAACATGTTTGGATATTAACCAATAGCCAATATTGGCCGATATTTCCGATTTATCGAGAATAAGTGGTAAAAATCGGAAAACAATGTTTTTTATATTTATCGAAAGGGCGTCAAAATCGATTTATCAGCCGATATAGCAATATATCGGCCGATAGAGCAATATATCGGCCGATAGAGCAATATATCGGCCGATAGAGCAATAGCTGACTAAATTGTTTTAATAGCCTACATATGAAGCCATAAAAATCAATGAATGATGCCAATAGAGCAATATATCGGCCGATAGAGCAATATATCGGCCGATAGAGCAATATATCGGCCGATATTTAATACGCTGACTAAATTGTTTTAATAGCCTACATATGAAGCCATAAAAATCAATGAATGATGCCACCACTCAAAAACAAAATGCAAGCACCAATAATTAGCAAGCACAACCATTAAGCAAAATGAATATACAGGTACTGACTAAATTCAATTTTGAGCTAAAAGGGAAAAAAAAGGTATCAACTAAATTCAATTTGTATAAATTATACATCTACATAGTAAGAAAGTAACCGTTTACTTAGTTTAGATGGGAAACACGTAGGTAAAAATATATTACTTTGCCCTACCTGTTTAGATAAAATGGTAAGTATATCTTCTCCTTACCTTACATGTTTAGATCAACGGTTAAGAAATCTCACCCTTACCCTGAAAAATAGGTAAACAAAGTTATCCCATTTCCCATTGCCACCCATATTCATGAGACCTGATAACAATCACTTTGAATAGTCAACATCTCATAAGGGACTGAACCTGAAGTAACAATACATACTTCTATTTTAACATAAACGCCATGTGAACTGCATTATTCATCCTCGTCTACTGACAACAATTTCCATTGTCAAAATAGTAGTTGAAGGAGAAAGAAAATCCTCATGCAGAAATGGCCTTAAACATGCACTTATTCAAACATTTACATACTTGAAAAGCCAAAGCAGAAAGAGCAAATTCAAACGTCCCTCATAAAACTTAAGGAGTTCTCGATGACAAATTAATTCAGTATATATCATCAAGTAGAACAAAAGAAAAAGTGATGTGATGAGTGATAACAGAATCCATCCATCACATGTGGAAATAAAAACATATATGATGCACCAAGTTGACATTAGCAAATTTCCTTAGATGTGCTGCCTCATGCAGCAAATAGAAACATAAACCACGAACAGCAAAGGAGGGCAGTCATAAGGAGAGAAAGAGAGATTATAAATGCCACACAAAATTCAACTTGAATCATCATTCATTCACCAAATTTATAAACAATATTTATACATGAACAGTTAGAAATAAAAGCTGAACCAGACATTCTCTCATCTAAAATAACAAAATAAATTCAAATACGCAGATAACAAAAAAGAACCTAAAATATGAACAACCCTAAACAGCCAACCCAATGTTTTAACTTTTAAAGTAACTCTGACTCAGATCTGATTAAACCAATGAGTCGCAACCCATGAATGATAAGTTAACATCCTGGAAACATTCTTCATTCTCAAAAAAGAAAGCAACCTAGATTATCTATTATGAAAGAAAAGAAAAGTTCAAAAACCTACATGTCAAGAGAAAAAATCTTCGCAAAATTATTCCCAGAAGATCCTGGCTCAAACAGCCAGACCATCGACCATTATTATTGAAACACATTGGTGTTATTCAGCCACATAGCAACGATCAGGCATAATTACGTAGTTCAAATAAAAAAGACCAAACTTCCTACTACATATCATTTTAAACGAAAGTTCTATAAGTACAAGTGACTTGTTTAGTTGTGTCATAAACAGCGGATACAAAGGTAGCACATAGGATCATGCAATGCAAAAACTCACTTCCCCTAGCTTCTTGCCACTGTTGTAATTGGTAAGGAGGATCGAAAAGTTTGCTCTTAAGGAAGAAGTTAAGTTAATATGGCTGGTTTTGATTATAAGTTAAATGGGTTTAAGTTATGAAACCATTTCAGGTGACCCGTTAAATGAGACCACAACCCATTTAATTTGTAAACCCATCAAATCATATTTTTCCTATTAAAACCCTACTTCATCCCTATCCCTCACCTTCCTGGTTCATCCTCTCTTGCTCCGTTTGCAGCTGCAGAAAAAGGTGTCAAATACAGAAGACAACTGCAGAGAAGCAACAGTTTCAAGAACGCATGTGGAATTTTTATTCTTCCAGCTCATAGTCCTTATATTTGACACAACAAACAGTTGAAGTTAAGAACCACGTCCCAATAGACATGTTCACGGGTTTCACATCAAACAGCTAATATCCAAGAGGGAAAAAAGATCTTTATATGGGCAGCATCTGGAGTCTGGACGCTTACTTCTGACTTCTGAGTATATGCAACCAGCAAAATCTCAATGTAACTATACTGAATAGATGCTAGATGCAAATATCGTACATCATAGCTCATATGCAAAAACACTAATTAAAAACCTAACTGATTTGTCCTTTAATAAATACAATATAAAACATGCAAGTATTTTGATGTCATTTTGAATATGGAAATAACAAGAAAGAGTTGTCAAACACAACAAAAAATATGAATCAATGTTACAGAAGACGCTAGGCGGACCAGGCGTTCGAGTCGAGGCCTAGCGCCTAGCGTACGCATTTGCCTATTTTTAAATTTGTTTAATTATAATACTTCACAAAAATATGTATTATTTCATATAAAATTGTTAAAAAACATAAATAATAATCTTAGATCCATAATCAACCATGCATAATATTAAATAGCTAAAATAGTAACCAAATACTAAGAAACATCACCATGTCCAACATAATCAGTTAATCACAGTGAAGAAAATAAAATAGGAAAAAAAGGATGAAAATTTTACCTTGAAAAGAGGAGGGCTGGCGATGAAGAGGCGGCGAAGAGGAGCCGAGGTGGCTCGAGAAGGAAGTGTTTTGATCAGCTCGAGGGGAAGGCAGTGGCGAAGAAGAGATGCTAGCGAAGAGGTGGCGGCGAAGAGAATAAGGAAGTAGCGGGAGAGGAGGCGGGAGAGAAGCGAGAGAAGCAGTGGTAGAAGAGGAGGCTTAGGGAGATTGAGAAGAGGAGGCGGTAGGAATACGCGAGAGAGGGAGAAAGAGTCAGAGAGATAAGGTTAGGTTAAAGAGTTGGAAATGTGTTTGGGTTTGGGCTAGGTTTTAGTTTAAAATTAGGGTTTTTTTTTCTTTCTTTTTTTTAGAAAGCTAGGCTAACCTAGGCGCCACCTTGGTGGAACTTAATCCATAAGATGAGCACAGGAGTTGTGGCAACTGTCCAAGACTACCAAATATTTAGCTATTCACAAATCATAACCAATGTTTTAAATATCGGTTATCAGGGATTTATCGGACGGCCAAAATCCTTATCGCATAGCGAAAATCGGGGATAATATCGAATTATCGGCCGATATTTAAAACTTTGATCATAACTTGTGAATAAATCACCTTCAATGTAGTGATTCTATGAACCCTGTTCCAAATATTAGGGAAGAGCTTGTTATTTGTACACAATGTTTAAAAGGAACTCCTTTTACTTATAACAGTACAAAGCCATCTATGGAGCATTTTGCTTAATTTTCAGGAATGGATCAGTTACATCCAACACATGCAAGTATAAGGCAAAAGAAAACGATTGAGATGCCCCATTTTGAATGGCGGAGTCGATCTCAAGGAGAAATATTTATGAAAGAATTGAATGGGTTTATATAGTAAGTTAAAGGATTCAAGTGCAACATTAGCTAGCTAATTTTGACAGTGGATTGAGCCAAACCACGTGTTGCACTCAGTGGGTTCAGCGATTTAC